CAGTTCTACTAGTAAAAGGGAGTTCCATACAAATCCTTTCTGAATGTTTACCTCATCCAACTTCTGTGCATCAGTAGATATCAGGTTCATCACAAGACCTGATGTAATTTGATCTTGAGTTGCGCTACTCAACCTTAAAATCTGAAGGAAAAAAACATAAGTCTAAGAGACTGTCCTTCAATGAAGTAATGAGGTTACTAAAATTCTTATAGGGACCCTGAGATCCTAAGCTATTCATAGCTGAAAACATACATTAAAAATGTACATTTTGAAAATGAAAAATAAAATTCGATCAAATGCGGTTTTCAGGTGATATCACCTGTAAAAGATGGAATTCCTGTTGGGCATGACGTCATATCGTTGCACCTCTTGCTTTCCGCTAAAAGTTAAGGTATATTTTGTTCAATGACATGGCATCTCAATATCAGTTTAAACCTAAGTTTCAGTGAAGAGAAAATGATGATAGTGAAATCGAGGAAAGTGAATTAGATGAAGACGAAGACATTGATAACAAACACAAACTTGAAGAGAACTGTTGTGATGCACTTGTGAAAATTGTATTGTGATCGGAACAGCCACAATACATTGTAATGAGCTCAATCACTTACACACGCTAATACACAAAGTAAATTAAACGGATAAAAAACATTTTTTGAATGCCTAACACTTGATTCTCTAATTCGCTTTTGTGGGGGAATGTAGTAGGCATAGCATCTGGATCATTAAGTTTTCTTTTGAATCGACTGCCTAACAGCTCCATTCGTAACTTGTGGCTCGTACAAAGGCTGCCCAACTATTGCTTGAGAAAAAGGAAAGAACTAATGCATGCGCAAGCTTTTATGTTTTTGGCGCATGTTTTTAGCAAAATGCGGATTACCTGTGGTATTACGTCATGATCCCGTGAGGCACGGAATCAAAAACTAGATACCGTATCTGTGAAAGCCTTTCACAGACTAGTTTGTGACGTAATTCACAGGTATTCCACATTTTGCTAAGAGCGCGTGTCGATAAATACAAGCCTGCATATTCGTTTTTTTCGTTCTATAAATCATTTTCTAAATCATGAATTTCATCCATAGTTCCGACAAATCAAACACGTCATTCACCACGCGCGGGATTGGCCAATCAGAATAGAGAGGTCACTTAATGGCAGACATGTTGTCCCATAAATCTCTAATAAAAAATCCCAACAAAGTCGGATCGGATGGTGATCGGCTTGCGCTTGTAAAGCAAGTCAAAAAATGCTTGAAATGGATCAAGATGTGTGAAGTGCTAGATGTAAAACTCATACAAAATAATTCAATCCTTTCTCTAGGACCTTCTCATATAGACTTAAATGGTTTTTAACAAAAGTTTTCGACAATCGTCGGAAGACTCATGTCATTTACGAAAAAACTTGAAAGCATTCCGCGAGCATTCGATTCCCGCGCTTTCTTCTGATTGGCTAATCGCACATAAGCGCGGAACCACATGGGCGGCCTATGCACAATCTAGGCTGTGACAAAAATGCTGAAACAGTCACGAGGTACAAAATCGGAAAGCGGGGGCGAGAAATAGCCAAATAGTCTCCTAAGGTATGGCGGAGAATACGCGTATATACGCGTCTTTGTGTTCGTATGCGCTCTATGTTTTTATTAGTCCCCAAGATCTTCAAAGGAGACATGATCATTGACGGCAAGCAAGTTGTTTAGGGACCGCTCATTAATTATGCCCGAGGGGGGGCTTTGAAAATAAACAGATAATGAAGGGGGGGGCTTTAATGGCATTTGCTGACTC